CAGGCTCCCTGCGTGCTCCCCCACCTCCCCCCACAGCATTGCTAGCTTCCTTCCTCTCCTCTCCTACCAGTTGCTGCTTTCAGGATGGAGAGCGGGGGAAGACAGGGAGGCCACATGGGCCCCTGGAGCATGTGTGAGGTGTGACCCATGACACTACACCAGTGTTAGGGTCCATTACAATCCTACAGGAGTCCCTCTGCTGCCTGCACACTACTAAGTTCATGCTAAGTTCCAGCATGTCCAGGACTTGCCCCCCCCCCCCCACCATGCTGGCTCCTGTCACTCTCTCACAAACGGGAAGCTCTCCCCCAGTACAGGGGGAGGTCTAAGTCCCTCTCAATGTGTACAAGTCCCCCAGCCCTGTATCTCAGACTGTAAAATGTTCTCAGTATCTTCCATATCCCCCCTCCTCCCCACGTTCTGCTCTCACCTGATGCACTGCCTGTGTTTTTAGAATCTCCGGCACCTGGACCAGATTCAGCTGGATGGCATTACCCCTGGCCAGGCCCCCGCAGTGCCTGACAGGAGAAACGGGCGCGCGCAACAAGAGAAAAGAGAGGAGACCTGTAGGGACTGACTTGGAGGTAAAGGTAAGGGGAGGCAATAAGAAGAGAGGAGTGCGAGACAAGTTCACAGAGGTGCATGGACAGGGAGCTCACAAGGTTGGGAGGCAGCAGGGAGAAGACTGTCCATGTACAACTCGCTATTGGGCGCCACTTGGGTATCATTCCTCCACTTAGCAGCCTTGTCCCAACTGGCACTTGTGTGGAGGGGCATGGCCTGTCCTGTCACATTCTTCTCATACCACCATCCTCACACAGGCACGCTTTGCTCTATGGGTGACACAGTGTCAAAACCTAATGAAGAAGGCCGCATGGGGCGCCCCCCCAGAACATAGGTCGGGTCACTATTGCGATTCCCGATGCTACACCTATGCACAAGACTAACACAGAGAGACATTTATTAAGAAGCAGCAAATTGTTTGGCATATTACTTTGGTCAGATTGACCTAGGAACTGATGACTTGCAGCACAGATTGTGGACTCGCTTACCACTTATTTTTAAATGTATTTGGTTTAATGTTACTTTACGTCAGCAACAGCCAGAAAACTAGGAAGGAAGTCAGCAATGACAGCCCCATATTTCTCTTTTTAGAAATCAATCTCATTCCTATGTACAGAGATGTCCACAAGAGTGAGCATTTGTACATGTACTGTATATACATTATATTGCCAAAAGTATTGGGACACCCCTCCAAATCATTGGATTCAGGTGTTCCAATCACCTCCATGGACACAGGTGTATAAAATCAAGCACCTAGGCATACAGACTGCTTCTGCAAACATTTATGAAAGAATGGGTCGCTCTCGGGAGCTCAGTGAATTCAAGCGTGGTACCGTAATAGGTTGCCACCTGTGCAATAAATCCATCCATGAAATTTCCTTGCTACTAAATATTCCACAGTCATCTGTTAGTGGTATTATAACAAAGTGGAAACAACTGGGAACAACAGCAATTCAGCCATGAAGTGGAAGGCCATGTAAAATGACAGAGCGGGGTCAGAGCATACTGAAGCGCCCAGTGCGCAGAAGTCGCCAACTGTCTGCAGAGTCAATAGCTAAAGACCTCCAAACTTCGTGTGGCCTTCAGATTAGCCCAATAACAGTGCGTAGAGACTTCATGGAATGGGTTTCCATGGCCAAGCAGCTGCATCCAAGCCTTACATCACCAAGCGCAATGCAAAGTGTCAGATGCAGTGGTGTAAAGCACGCAACCACTGGACTCTGATGGACATGTCTGGGTTTGGTGGCTGTCAGGAGAACGGTACTTGCCTGACTGCATTGTGCCAAGTGTAAATTTTGGTGGAGGGGGGATTATGGTGTGGGGTTGTTTTTCAGGGGTTGGGCTTGGCCCCTTAGTTCCAGTGAAGAAACTCATAAGGAGTCAGCATACCAAGACATTTTGGACAATTTCATTCCAACTTTGTGGGAACAGTTTGGGGATGGCCCTTTCCTGTTCCAACATGACTGCGCACCAGTGTACAAAGCAAGGTCCATAAAGACATGGATGAGCAAGTTTTGGGGTGGAGGAACTTGACTGGTCTGCACAGAGTCCTGACCTCAACTCGATAGAACACCTTTGGGATGAATTTGGGCAGAGACTGCGAGCCAGGCCTTCTCGTCCGACATCAGTGCCTGACCTCACAAATGAGCTTCTGGAAGAATGGTCAAACCTTCCCATAGACACCTTCCTAAACCTTGTGGACAGCCGTCCCAGAAGAGTTAAAGCTGTTATAGCTGCAAAGGGTGGGCCAACTCAATATTGAACCCTACAGACTAAGACTGGGATGCCATTAAAGTTAATGTGCCTGTAAAGGCAGGCGACCCAATACTTTTGGCAACATAGTGTATGTACAGTGCCTTGAAAAAATATTCATACCCCTTGAAATTTTCCACATTTTGTCATGTTACAACCAAAAACAACGTATTTTATTGGGATTTTATGTGATAGACCAACACAAAGTGGCACATAATTGTGAAGTGAAGGGAAAATGATAAATGGCTTTTAAAATGTTTTACAAATAAATATTTGAAAAGTGTGGTGTGCATTTGTATTCAGCCCCCCTGAGTCAATACTTTGTAGAACCACCTTTCGCTACAATTACAGCTGCAAGTCTTTTTGGGGGATGTCTCTACCTGCTTTGCACATCTAGAGAGGGACATTTTTGTCCATTCTTCATTGCAAAATAGCTCAAGCTCTGTCAGATTGGATGGAGAGCGTCTGTGAACAGCAATTTTCAAGTCCTGCCACAAATTCTTAGTTGGATTTAGGTCTGGTCCATTCTAAACACATGAATATGCTTTGATCTAAACCATTCCATTGTGACTCTGGCTGTATGTTTAGGGTCGTTGTCCTGCTGGAAGATGAACCTCTGCCCCAGTCTCAGGTCTTTTGCAGACTTTTCTTCTAAGATTGCCCTGTATTTGGATCCACCCATCTTCCCATCAACTCTGACCAGCTTCCCTGTTCCTGCTGAAGAAAAGCATCCCCACAGCAAGATGCTGTAACCACCATGTTTCGCAGTGGGGATGGTGTGTTCAGGTGATGGGCAGTGTTAGTTTTCTGCCACACATAGTGTTTTGCTTTTAGGCCAAAAATTCAATTTTGGTCTCATCTGACCAGAGCACCTTCTTCCACTCATTTGCCATGTCCCCCACATGGCTTCTCACACACTGTGTAACGGAACCGGAACCCAGACCGCACTTGGGTATATTCCGTTATACTGCAGCTTCCCTGTCCGAACACCATCCACGGACCACGCCCTTGAAATCCCTCAGGAAATAGACAACACCCAGCTCTTAAAACAGAAAGCCAACTACTTTTATTGTACACAAACAACATGTTTTATACAGAGGGCGGGGAAAGACAAACAGGGACAGGAAACACCTCATCAGCCCACCCTATCAATGGGAAGGGCTACAGTATAGGCAGGAAACACCTCATCACCCCTCCCCATCCAACCAGACACAGAACAATGGGATGCAGCCATGCGGCAAAGGATATTGACCAACCCCCACACCAATACACAAACCGTACATCCCATAATAGTTGGCTGGACAGGAAGACACAGCACAATGGGGGGTAGCACATGGCAAACAGACAATGGACAGCCATGTGGCCTAGACAAAGGAACACACACTATACACAAGACTCAGACATTCACATACACACCCTGTACCCCTTAAACAGGCACAGGGTGGGTTAAACATAATGAGGGGGACATGAGCTGACCAAGCGGTTCCCCCACCCCAAAAGTCACTCCCGTCACACACTGCAAAAGGACTTCTTATGGCTTTCATTCAACAATGGCTTTCTCCTTGCCACTCCTCCATAAAGGCCAGATTTGTGGAGTGCACAACTCATAGTTGTCCTGTGGACAGATTCTCCCACCTGAACTGTAGATCTCTGCAGCTCCTCCAGAGTTACCATGGGGCCTCTTGGCTGCTTCTCTGATGAATGTTTTCCTTGCCTGGCCTGTCAGTTTAGGTGGATGGCCATGTCTTGGTAGGTTGCAGTTGTGCCATACTCTTCCATTTTCGAATGATGGATTGAACAGTGCTCCGTGAGATGTTCAAAGCTTGGGATAATTTTTTATAACTTAACCCTGGTTTAAACGTCTCCACAACTTTATCCCTGACCTGTCTGGTGTGTTCCTTGGCCTTCATGATGCTGTTTGTTCACTAATGTTCTCTAACAAACCTCTGAGGGCTTCACAGAACAGCTATATTTGTACTGAGATTAAATTACTCACAAGTGGACTTCTGAAGGCAATTGGTTCCACTAGATTTTAGTTAGGGTATCAGAGTAAAGGGGGCTGAATACAAATGCACGCCACACTTTTCAGATATTTATTTGTAAATAGAATTTGAAAACCATTTATCATTTTCCTTCCACTTCACATTTATGTGCCACTTTGTGTTGGTCTATCACATAAAATCCCAATAAAATACAGTTACGTTTTTGGTTGTAACATGACAAAATGTGGAAAATTTAAAGGGGTATGCATACTTCAAGGCACTGTCCGTATATATGAAATACAATGAAAATATGAAACCGCAAATAAAAACATAAAAGGCTCATCAAAATGATTTTCTGGTAATATTAGTAATAACTCAAATTATGTCTGAAAAAAAATGCAACAAAATAAGCTCACAACTCAAAGCATTGATGGAATTCACTCTCTTTATTTGCGTTCCTTGAATGATTTCCTTTAATATCTATGTATTAACAGCAAGTTTAACCCATTAAACTCTACCAATTCCTGTAATTGCTATTCCGTCAGACTTGGCTAACCTGTGATTTAGCACACAAAAGATCTGTAACGATCACACAAACTAATCAATGAGCTACGGAAAGCAGAGAGATGGGATGGCGGATTAAAACACTACAGAATGGAGTTGTTCTATCTCCGCTTTGTGTTGTTTTTCCTCATTCTGTTTTCATTTTGCCGGCGCTGTGACCTTCTTCTGTAAGCGGTTATATTCTCTTAACCTGTAAACCGAAGACAAAAAAAAGAAGGGGAGGTTGAAGAACAAAAAATTAGCAAAGGTTACCCTTATTCATGCAAATCAATGTCAGAGGGGGGAAGGGGGGGGAAGAGTCACAAGGTCAATTTTACTTGTTAATAAGTCAAGGAAGGTCTTATTACAGTGATGCATGTATTATGCCGCTTTCCCCCTCTTTCCTTCCTTCATAAATGCCTCGGAAGACAGGAGGGTGACTGCAGACCACAGATGAATCAAACAGCTTTGAATAAAGCCAATTAAAGCAGAAAAAAGCCTTTTATGTTAATGCCGGAGAGGCTTGTAAGGTATTGTTAGAGAAGGCATTGAAAGAACAGGTACACAACACTGTCATCTCCTGTGCATCACAGATAAAATGATTAAAATATCCACAATGTTGGCATGTTTAACTCTTAACGTGGCAGATTCAGGGCTAAAAGGTATCCATAGATTGCTGGGGGTGGTGAGACCTTATGAAGAGGTTGGGGTGCCAGAGGCTCAAGAAATTGGGTCGCAATCTTGATAACTGCAACGGAGCTTAAAGTAACCCTCTTGGGGGATCGTTGGTAGTTGGATAGTATTGGTACTCTTCAAGAAAATTTTGGCTTACTAGCTTTAAGATTTGTAAATATTAAAAATAAAAATTATCACTTTTTTTTTTACATTTGGTTCTTCCATCCTAGTACTAACCAGGCCCAACCCTGCGTAGCTCCCAAGATCAGAAGGGATTGGGTAATTCAGGGTGGTGTGGCCATAGGCTTTGGTTCTATGTGGTCTTTAAAGGGTCAAATTTATCCCATCTTCCTAGGTGACCTGTAACACTAGCTGCAATATTGGATAGGGCGCCCCCTTCCTTGATGTATAGCTGCACAACACCACAGCTAGCAAGTAGATGACTTCTTTGATAGCAGGCTCCAAGCACTTGTATATGGCACACAAGGGCAAGAAGAATGCAGAGGGAGGTAAAATGTGTCAACCACCTCACCACCTGACAGGACTGAAGTGTACCTGTGGCCAGGATATGGGCATGTAAGTATTTACATATTCCTAACCTACAGTAAATGAGTATGTAAACAAGCCTTCACTAACCTCTGTAGCTGCAAGCACTGTGGAGCAATTCATTATCAAAGTCCACAGAAAAAGCACTAAAGTTGGTATCTTAGCAGTTCAGCTCACCCTTCTTTCCTTCACAGAAGTCATTCTGCCTCTGGGCTCCTTCTGCTCCCCCTCCCAGCAGTGATTCCGTAGCTCAACTCCTCCTACTCTTCCCCACTTGGGATATCATTGAAAGTGGACTCAAGCCGAAAACCTCATTGTTTTCGATAGAGAAAGAAAGGGTTAGGGTCCCTGTAAAAGATCTATTGCTGTTTGTGTCCATGCTGGGGAAAATTCAGCTCATTTGTTGTGACAGTAATCACCAAGAATTGGAAATCCCCCCTCCCCACCAATGGGGAAACATGCAGCCAATCAAGCCTGAGAATGGATAAAGGGTTCTTCCCCTTGCCGACTCTTTCCTAATCAAAACTAATTATCTGAAATCCCATAAGGCTATATTTGCATGGACGACTGGCACCACTGCGAATGACAGAAATTTGCTGATTCCTGAAGCTGTTTCAGCCACTTGAGTGGCTAGCTGCAGCTGCACAGCCCTGTACATTTCCACAGCTATATAAGGCTGTCCGCAGGGATGGCAATTACTTGCTGCTGGATGCCCTTTTCAGTCACTCACAGATGGTATGAAACAGCAGCAGGAATCAACAGATTCGCACTAGAGCTAGTCACCCATGCGAATGCAGCCTTGAAGGTGCAAGGCTTTGAAAATCAGGGGCAGGTAAGATGCATCATTATGGAGTTTTTCCATTGTAACTCCAGCCAACCTTTATTATTTTTTACTTTGTGCTAAAGGTGAATCTGCCAATGGGGGAACCCTTTAACCCTGCCTGTATTATGCTGGCAAATCTTCTTTATCGGTTGTAAACTAGATATGCACACTGTCTTTCCAAACAAATGGGTAAAGAAAATAGAGGGGTAAAGATCTCAAGGCTTGGGTGAAGCATTGGATGTTAATGCACAAAACAAATGGTCTCTCAGTCTGTTCTGAAATTGCACATTGCAAGTTGGGACTCTATAGGCAGCTTGTATTGTTTAGACTATGTCTATGAATGGGAACATACAAACATACTGTATGGTGGAGGTTCCTCAAATGTAACTGCAAGAGTCAAGCTGTACTTGCTGCTAAAGATAAACTAACCAGGGCTACATAAAACGTACCATTAGGTGCTACAGCATATGTGTTTAGACTGGTAGCTTGCTCTCTTCAGAGTATGGGAGCCCCTGGAAAACCCAAACTCTCAGGAATACGGAAGACAGGCACTCCCCTGCCATCAATGCAGCTGTCAGTGCCTGAGTAGTCTATCCCCATCCTTGAGCACTGCCATTGGGGATATGCCTTGGTACATGCGAGTATGGGCTATCAGGAGGTTGGTATTTGCTGAGGAACTTGGGGAGCTTTTGTTGGCTGGTAGGGGGGAGGCTTGCTATCAAAAGGGCAAACTAAACGCACCTGATATTGCCTCATACACAATCTTAGTCCTAGTGTACAGTTTCTGCAAGCAGTAGAGGCTTGCTTTACATTTTGAAGAAACTAAGCACAATATACCATAGAAACCAAGCACAATATACCTGTATGTGAAGAAACCAGGCACAATATGCCATAGAAACTACAATATGTTGGATTGTCTATAGAACAAAATGATCTACGGAATTAGATTAACTTCATCTTGAACTCGGATATATATATCATCCCCTATACAGGGCCATAGAATTTTAGGTGCCTCGATTTTGATGCTGCAAAAAACTGGCAGCTTTTCTAACAAAAACTGGTAAGAATTAGTACCAGAGTATCAACATAAGGTAACTATAAATTCAATATTTTAGATCCCTCCTTTTGATGACATCTGGATTATTAATATAAGGCGCATTATATATGCGCGTCCGGTGAGTGCGCATTACTTACACCATTATTGCACTGACACCGGGTCCAGAGTTACCAGAGCACAAGAGTCACCTTTTACTACTGGAACTGTTTTTACCCTTATTTAATTTTATTTATATTGGATACAATTTTATTAATTGATTTATTGGTATTATTATTTTAGCGCTGCACCTTTCTGTATACAATATTTTAGATCACACTGTAGGTTTGAGTGTTAACTAGGTTTGTGAGGTTAGGGTTTAGTGACACACAAAACACTAGGTTTGTGAGGTTAGGGTTAGGGTTACCAGAGTATCAACATAAGGTAACTATAAATTCAATATTTTAGATCCCTCCTTTTGATGACATCTGGATTATTAATATAAGGCGCATTATATATGCGCGTCCGGTGAGTGCGCATTACTTACACCATTATTGCACTGACACCGGGTCCAGAGTTACCAGAGCACAAGAGTCACCTACTTTTACTACTGGAACTGTTTTTACCCTTATTTAATTTTATTTATATTGGATACAATTTTATTAATTGATTTATTGGTATTATTATTTTAGCGCTGCACCTTTCTGTATACAATATTTTAGATCACACTGTAGGTTTGAGTGTTAACTAGGTTTGTGAGGTTAGGGTTAGTGACAGGGTTACATTAGGGGGTTGAGTTTAAAGTGAAATTCCAAACTAGATCTAACTAAGCCTAAAACTGCTCCCACCCACCTTCTAACTGCTATTCTAGTTACCCTGTAGAAGAAACAGATCTTTACTTACAGTACCTATATTCAGAGCGCTCCGCTCCAGTCATGAGCTCTCCTCAGCGACCGACTTTAGAGGATAGAAGAGGTAGCCAACAACAGATGGAATGCCAGAGCAGTGACGCCACCATAGACTTACTATGAGACATCCGTTTTTGGTTGGCCCTCCTCTCCCCTGAAGCCAGCCACTGGGAGGTGATGACGTGACCAGTCCAGAGCGTTCTGGGAATAATAGGTAAATGTATGCATCGTTCTTCTCCAGGGTAGCTAGAATAGCATTTAGAAGGGAGGTGGGAGCCATTTTAGTCTTAGTTAGATATAGACTGGAATTCCACTTTATGGGTATGGTTTCAGGTTAAGGCTAATGGGAGGGATGAGGTTAGGTGTTTGAAGTAGGTGAGATGTTACTATTCATTTGTACGTTGTTAGGTGTTAAGGGTTAATCTATCAGCATTAGAGGCTAGGTTAGATGTTAAAGGTTGATGCTAGGTAGTAGGTCAAATGGTAACATAAGGCTGAGCATATATGGCCAAACGAGATGGATGGAGGAATCCTCTCCACTGTCAGAATATACTGATCAGTGCTGCAGTTGATTGGCTTCAGGCTGATTGACTTAAAGTTTTCCAACAGTCCCGTTCAAGAGAAGTCAATCATTAGATCGTCTTCCCTTGAGCAGGAACAAACATAAGAAAGATCAAAATTCAGTCGGCCCCTACTGAATTGGCCAAATTTCAATCCATCTATAGGTGGCTTAGGGGGGGAAACCATGTTGAGTGTTAACTTGGCCATATACATTAAAATCTGACTGTACAATCTCCTCTGGACAAAACCACACAATGTGCGAATCTATCTAAACAATCAATTTTGATCCAGCAGGTGAGCCCTAGATTTAAGTTGAGGTAGATCCAAAGGCGATAATACAGTTTGGTTCTTATGTGTATGACAGATTTAAGATGACATCTTAGCTTGCTCCCAGTGCTGAAAACCCTGCGCAACATACAGTAAAGTTCATTTACTAAAACTGGAGTATGCAAAATCTGGTGCAGCTCTGCATAGAAACCAATCAGCTTCCAGATTTTTTTTTTTTTTTTCCATCAAGGCCTAATTAAACAAGCTGAAGTTAGAAGTCGATTGGCTACCATGCACAGCTGCTCCAGATTTTGTACTCTGAAGTTTTAGTAAATCAACTAAAGTATGTCTGGTGCAGGCATCGAAATAGAAATTGTTATACCATACCTCACTGCATTGATATTGATGAATCCAGATGCGTCACATGGTTCATATTCTCCCTGCTTGTCCATGCTGTATGGAAAAAGAATAGAAAAAATATAATATAATAAAAAGTATCATATGGAGAAAGTACCTATACATTGGCAACACTTGCAAATTAATTTGTCTATGCTAAAATCTATAGCTTATTCATACCATCCCAGTATCAATGGATATTTACTATTTTTACAGTTTTCTTTTAATGCCCTTTAAAACCATGCCTGTCACTCTTACACAATAAAATTAGGAAATTTGCTAGCAATTACCTGCCTATCAACATACAAGTTGCAGGTACAGATCAAAAAGTGAGTCAATAGAGTTAGGAAACAGGCTGGAAATATTCATCTAAAGCTGGTCTGTACTGTGACACTTCCACCAGCATCACCATAGTCATATGGTTTGCTGTCACATGACCAAGTGCCAGGACACAGAAGAAGCCTCCCTGTGATCTACACTGCCCCTGGATCGGCCATGCACAATTTAGCTTTGTATTATATTCATAGCAGACAATGCAGCCGCTTTGGGGCTCAGATTTGTTGCAGTAAACCATAGCAGACATACTTGGGTTCTGGTTCTGTAAGATTGCTAAGAAAAGTATGGATGTTTCATAAATAACTACATACAATAATTGAAAGTGTATCTATAGAATAACATTTTTTTTTTAGTGTTGAATATGGGGAGAAGGCTTGTTACTCTACATCTGGTTTTTATTGCTGTCTGTGCCCCCCCGCCCCGGGTAGATTCACCTACTCCATTTGTGTTGCTAACCATTGTCACGAAGACGGAAAAAAAATCAAACATTTTACAATTTTTACCAGAATAAGTGGGGAGAAATAACCTGAGAACACCTACAGTACTTAATGGAAGGTGTGTGGAGGGGTGGGGGATTATTTTTCCCCCATCTTGGCAAAATTTCCTCTCGCTTTCTGTTGGGTCTCTAGGTCAGGAAGTAAAGGGCAATTTTCCCGTCAGAGACAAAAAACAAAAATTAGGTTCTAACAATTTTCTGTTCTATCTAAAACTTTGAAAAATGTGAACAGCTACTCTTTATGACTGAATCTTCCAACTCTTGCCAGTGTGACCAACTTTTTATTTTTCAGTTAATTCCTGCCATTTAGCCTATGGCTTTCCCTAGCTTTTGTTAGCCGCTATGCAGGCCAAACAAGTTTCCATTTAAGACCAATGCTAGCTGTACACTTGTAGAATTTCTCTGGAAAGAGAAAGTAGAAAATGCCTCATCCCACCATTCAGTGGTGCCTTCACAGACTCAAAACAAATTTTGAAGGACTTTGTTCAAATGCCATGTCAATATCTTAATTTTTGTAGAACCAGGTTCTTCTTCTGGATTAACTAACAAATGTATGCGCATAAGCTTAGTTACAATTTTTCTTGACCAAAAGCAATTCAAATTTGTTAATTCCCATTAAGATTTGACAAAAATTTTCCAACCTTGTCTTAAAATTTATTTTGCTTGCTCTATTCAAAACTGAATCATACCCTTTAACTAGTAGGAGTGTCCTGAAAATGACAATTTTCTTACAAAATTCTACAGGTTAGGCCAACTTCAATCAGCACCTTGCCTTATGGTTGAAACAGACCCCGACCACACTGTCTCCATGTTGTCTGGGGGTCAGATCCACCTTTTACTATCTTTTCTAGATCTGCTCCTGACTTCCATGTTCCCTTTCCCCAGATCCGTCCTTGCTTGCTCCCTGCATGTTCTTAATACCGAACTACCTATTACCGCTAGGCTGAAATATGGGGATTGTAAAACAAAACTGGTGCCTTTTGCTGCCAGCAGTGGCTACCCCTCCCAATATAAATTACCAGCAGCCTTAAATTGTGGAAGGAGAAGAAAAAAAATTACTGTAGAATGATTTTACCTCCCTTGATGTGAAACTAAAGTACGAAGGAAAGAGAGACAGAGAAGAAACCGGTGCCTTTTATTTTTGCTCATTGAAGTGACTGTGACCTGCTCTATAATTACGTTACTTTATACCCACTGTGCTAAGGCATTTCCACCCTGTGTTAGTTGCAGCAGCTTGCTTGCTCCCCCTGATTCCCGTTAGGCTGTCATTCAAAAGCTTTCAAAGCAGAAATGCAAAAGTCAAAAAGAAGAAAGGCAAATGGTTGGCGGCACGGTGAGTATAAAAGCCAGCTCTTTCTTGATCGTGCTCACTTTAGGATTTTTTTTTTCCCTTCTTTTGACTTTATTCATTGAATCTCCCCGAGAGTGAGTGAGAGAGAGAGAGTGACATAATGAGGGGGGTGGAGGTGGTTTGAGAAGCTACTGATTTGGAAACGGATGGGAGGAGGTGAATGGAAGAAGAGGGGGCAAACAAGGTAGGTGGTAATGTGGGAGATAGTATAAGATCCCTCTTCCTTTCCTCCATCATTGATATAAATATTGCTGGTTACGAAGAGGTAAAGCAGCTTGTGTCCTAAAAAGTGAATACCTAGTGATGGCATTGTATAAAGAGGGATGATGTCATTACAAAAACCATGGAGGTTAGCTACTGAGCCTGCAGCTTGAAGAAAGCACACAACCTTTGGCAATACATTATTTTGAGCATTATGCCACCATGCAATTTGGTCAGAATCAGCAGTACCCTAAAAATACAGTTACCTCTTAACACATTAGCACCAGCCCTAACATTTCCTCTGGTCTAACCTAATCCAAGTCTCATTGCCTAACACTAACCTTAAGCTGGCCATACGCCAGTAGAATTTAATTTAAAACTTGTATGGAAATTCTAAAAAAATCCTTCATCAGAGCATTCGATCTTGGCATAGTTGAGCCAACTAATTCCATTCAAAAGCTCTTAAAATTTTGTCAAGGCCTGCTACTTAAATGGATTTCCAAATGTATTAAGCACATTTATTTTGCGCCTAGAACATGCCCTTTGCAATATGTACGATTTCTCCAAAACGTAAACAACATTCATGGTTTGAATTTCATTCATTTGAGAAAAATGTTCCAATCTGCTCTTTGAATTTTCTCATCAATAAGGTCAAAAAACAAATCACCAACTTGACCGAACTAACCATTAGAAAATTGAATGTTTGTAAAAAATTTGACTAGCATATGGCCAGTTTAATTGTCACATTGATAGTATTTAGGAGAGATGTGACTCAAGCATTTTGTGTAAAAGCACAATTATGACCTTTGTGCTACTGTGTCTGCTATGGCTCCCAACATTTTAAGTTGAACTTGTTTCCATAGCAAATGGCAGAGTTGCTGTCTGTTCTCCCACTAGTGAAATTGCCTCCTTCTTATCCCCCTGACCTGGGGATAGGGCCATAGAGACAGTAAGTGACTGAAGTCTTTTTAGTGGGAATTGAAAAACAAAAACATGTTTCTAGCAGAGTGGGAAAGGGTCAGAACTTAGGTCAGGTTTTTACTGCTCTACCATTGTGTCACAGGGACAGAAATTAAGGAGAGGTCCATGGGTGCCAGTAGAAAAAAAAAAATCTGAATACTTCCCTCTCCTATTCATAGCAAATATTTTGCCTGGGACTGAGCTTAAAACCACTGAGATGCTGGGCAGATGTGATGTATGGGCCATCCACTAGCAGAAATTAAATTTCAAAATGTTCTGTTTCAGACTGTTCTCTTGGTGTGCTAATGGTTAGTGGGGTCATAGCAATGATCATTTTTTACTGCAGTGTCAAGAAAATTCAAAGGCACAGGACTGAAATTTTTTTTATTTCAACAAATACATTTATAATATTGTTTGTGTTTTTAATTTTGGAAATTCCAATTATTGAGGTACTTTTGAATGATAAATTGACAAGTCTCTGATGGCATTTTCCAATTTACTGATGGGATTTTTTTTAAAAAACTGTAAACAGACATATCAGGAATTAAACTGGTAAGTCTGAGATCATTTAAAAATGAAGTGAATTTCTAAATAAAATGTATGACCAAAAACATGGTAAGAGTCTATGACTGGCGTAACCAAAGCCACACCTAAAACAAATACTTTATTTTTGGCTTGACGCTGGCTGAGTCACATTCAGGCTTCTTTTATGTCTCACAAACTCAAGTACTGAGATATCCATGAACTGTTAAACCTAGTACACACGATCAGAAAATCGTACTTTCAATCGATCAAACGATAATCTGATCGTTAGTACACAGCTTTTGTCCAAAATTATTTGAAGGGACATTCATGAAAATTTTTCTCCTACAATATCAGATTGTACAATTATCGTTTAATCAACAGTTTTCATCTGAAAATACAATACAAATACATTACAAAACATGACATGACATCACCAGCTCCTCATTATACAGGGACTTCCAAATTTGTATTCTGTCCTACGAGAATTTTCATAACTTTAGTAACCTTTTAATTATCGATATGAGACTAGCATCGCATGTACTGGGCTTTACACTCTGTCCCACTCTTCTGCGGCTGGGTTTAAGGAGTTGTGACACTGACATTTTGCTTTGTATTGACTGCAGCAGACAGACGAAACTGGCACATCCGGACTTCTCACCATTACAGTCCTTAAGAAGTTCAAAAATGTTTCCAAAGCTTTTACTTTTAGGTTTGAATAGAGTAGGGCATGATTAGCACCCTTGTCTGTTTTCATTTTTTTTAAGTTTTCCTGTTTAGGAACACTCTTGCATTTGTTCTAAAGTCCATTGTCACCAGGACAGAAAATTATGGAGATACAAAATTTTAAGGTCGTTACCAAAACATGAACTGTCTAAGAGGGGATTTCCCCTCCTTTTTGGAGAGATTTCTTCTTACTTTCTGTTGCATCTCTGGAACATTCGTGTTAAAGGGGCCTAACTTTCTGTCCCAATCAGGTCCGCCTGCCAGTTTTTCGGACGGACCTGATCAAAACCTCTATTCTCCTCCATTTACACCTGTTGACATCCAATCTGATCTGATCTGCCAAAAAGGGACGGATGGGGATCCATTCCCCTAACATCCATCAGATCAGATGGGATGGCAAACGTATAGAAATGGATCGCCTGTCCGTTTCCATCTAACTGCCCATAGAGGACAGTGGGCTGTGTCTGTGTCTGCTCTGCAGCAGTAGAGGTGACACGGACCTGTCATCAGTTTGCTCATGGGGATCAGTGGAGAGATCCCCCGCTGAGCAAGCGGATCCGCTGATGGGTCCGCCCCGTGTGAAAGGGGCCTAAACTGAAACCCTTTAAACCTTCCCCACTCTATCCAAAACTATGAAGTTTGGCTGGACATACACTTTAACCTTTCCCTACTTTATCCACTAACTTGCTATAGGTACACTTCAAAGCTTTAGTTTAGGTATGGCAACTTTTTATACAGTTAGTTACATTGGTCCTGCTTGGACCAATGTAAGTATGTATGTGCCATACCTGTGGGATCCCCTTGGAAGTTATAAATTACTGTAGAATGCACTGCTACTCCTGTGATCTCCACCAGCTTCAGGGTTGTGTACAGAGCAGCCTGCCCTTCTGCATTGTGAACACAGTCACTTGCTTGGCACAGGTGCCAAAGAACACTGAATTTTTTCAAGAAAAACAAAGTGTTCTCTGATTGGATGAGATGGAGAGTCAGGGCAGTGGTGTCCAATTTTAGAGAACACTGCATCCACCACAAAGAGGCAAAGTGTTTTCTGAATGGCACGTTCGATGGCATGTTCAATAAGCAGCAGGGCAGCTGCTCAGCATGGTAATTGGAAGCTAGTGGCACGAACACTGCAGTAGCAAAACCTACTACAAAAGATTTCTAGCTTCCATGGGGATCCCACAGGTATAGCACATATACTGTATACTTACATTGGTTAACACTGGAACCATGCAACTATGTGAAAACTAAATGTCAACTTTAGGAAGCTAGCATATAATTCAGATTGCTACACCAATTGCATGCTGGGAAACTGTTCAAAGTTCATCGCTTACCTCACCAGCTCCTCGTTGTACAACGATTGTGGCGACTCTCTACCCAACAAATAAACTTGTCCCTTCAGGACAGACAATTGCACTTTCCCTTGTATCAGTTGCTGGGATTTGGCAATACACGAGCGAACAAACTCACACTCGGGGCTGTACCAGAACCCTGCAAGTACAAAAATATTACATTATTAACTAAATGAAGAAATACCATCGGTTATAGCACATCTGAGTCCGAAAAATCACATTTCTGGTCAGTAAGCATTCTGAATTGTCACCTCTTGTAGAATATGTACAGCATATCTCCGCACTGGAAGGAAAGCCCTTGTGATAGGATCTTCTTCAAGGCAGACGTATGTAAAATCAGGGGGATCTGGGAGAAGTTTGTGGCTGATGGCTAAACTTAGCAAGATGTTATAATTTAAAGCCAGAGCAGAAGTACAATATATACGTCCTTTTGGCAGTTGTACAGACGCCAAGGGCGTAGTCACCTTTGATCATTCTGGTTGACTCTATATCTTTTTAATATATTTGGTATTCATGTTCATGCAACCTGAAAGTTCCATCCTTTCTATTGAATATCCTACATTTCTCTTTTTTAGCCCAACAGGCTAACACCGTAAACAGTGGCACCCATGGTTGCCAGAAAACCTGAACAGGGACAGTAGCGGATTTGTTGCAACCATTGTACGCCGATCATTTTCTGCCTAGCTCCCAAGATTATTGATCAAAGTTTGTCAAGCTGGCTGGTGATGTCAGGGCCAACCATGGTTAGGATTTTGTCTGATTCCTATGAAATCTTAGCAGTGTATGGCCAGCTTAAGTAAAGCAGTACTACGAAAGGAAGGGTCTCCAATCTGAGCCAATAAAGACTCCATTGCTTTGCCTAGTGCTGTTAGGCCTCTTTTAAACAGTTGGCTGGGTGGCAATAAAAACAGGTGATTGAGTTGCAGTTGTACCACCCCCTGACCACCTACCTACACAGTCAACAATTCAGCCAGAGGGGGCTTTTAATAATGTAATGCTTTAGGTTGCGCCCATGGCAAATTTAACATGGCATGTTAAGTTGACAGCCACAGCTGCTTGGCTTGCAGTTGCAGCACATTAGTCCAACTGGAAAAAAAAAAAAAAAAAAAAAAATTCAGGAGACGGCAGGATTATGCCCTGAGCGCCTGACAACGATTGCTTAGCTGCACTCTAAAAAGCAATCCACCATGGATTGCTTTTGAGAGAATTGGCAAGTGTGAATCTAGCCTTAAACTGGCAATACACTGATAGAAAAATATAAAAAAAGATTCCTCCAACCACACTATACAATGCAGATGGATGAATCCCTCTGCTGAGCTATTGTATTTGAACCCTCCTCCTTTGATTTTTTTTATTCAAAGGATGTTTGGGTGGATGGGGACCGACCAGTAAGTGAATTTCGTCTGGCTCATCAGGAACCTGCTAAAATTCGCTCAGTGTATGGCCAGCTTTAGTCCGAACCAATGAACCTGATTGGAGAAGGGAGGAGCACAGGGATGACCTCATCTGCATGTAGTGGCTAATTCACTGCCCAATCACAAGTCCTGGATCAGTCTGTATTCCCTAAAGTCAGTGTAACCTATAGGGAGGTCCAGAACGTGGAGGACTTTGGCAGATAAAACAGTTGACATTTAGTCCATCGGGTCAGGGGACTTTCCATTCGGCAAAGAAGTAATGGCGTCTTGGATCTCATCTTGTGTAATGGAGTCTTCTAAGGCTAATTGAATGGTAGGGCTAAAATGGGCATAATGGAGGAAGAGGTGTATTCCTGGATCTTGACCCAGATTGGGGAATGCCAGGGGGGTCTTCAGAATGTAGATTATACAAGGAGGCGTACAGTAGAAGGTCCCAAAAGAGTTAGCAATGTCTTTAGGGTGATTGATTCTGGAACCTTGAGAGGTTTTAATGACATTTAGTATATACAGTACTTTTTAATCTTTGTTTTTAGTGGTTTGCTTGCTTACAAAAAAAGAGATGGAAGAAGAGATTGTTTTATGAGAGTGATTTGCAGTACAGATAGTTTTAGTATCATTATAACCAATGAATGATTTGCAGTACATGTATGTAGCCAGCTGAACAGAAACAGGAATAAGTAGACAGAAAAGCAGTGCAACTGCATAAAAATACCCAACAGCTAAATTCCGACTTTAAACAGATCTTGGGATGGAAAGGTGATGTCACAACAGAAATTTTCATATGAATAAACATTTTAAGAGGTCTCACATTTCCGAATCCCACTGACATTTTCCCTTTACGTATTTGGAAGGTGACAACAAAAACATGAAACCGTCTGCATGTGTTGGGGTATGACGGCTAAATCACTCTCTACAAGCCGATCTGTTTGTGCCTGACTGAAGAGGAGAATAAACACCGTGCAACCTGCGCTAAACAAGGACAGGTTATGACACCCACAACCACCAATCTGAGCTCCTTCTGAAATGCTTGCTGCCTAGCTGTCTCTGGCTTCAGTACTGTTCTCTAATTATAGACTGTCTGAACTGGAACAAGCAACATGGAACATGTTGCGTTAGCTGGATTTTACACTTTATTTTATTCCAATATAAGATTTATTTTATTCCAATATAGCCTTTGTAGAGAGATGGTTATTTTGAGGGCTTTTAGTTCGTTTTGACCTCTTTGGCTATACGTTGTTCTTACCTTTTGGGTGGGGGGGTGGAGGTGAGAGATTTGACACATACTGATAATCCCAACAGCTCTCATATCCCATCACCTGTTTAGGTGTATTCCCTGCAGTGACAAGTGGTCCAACTTTTTTTGACTAAAGAGCCCAGTTTTGAGTGAAAACTGCAGGGGGATGTTTACATTGGATACATTAGCCAAGAGGTAGTTTGAAGTGTTGCCCTAGTCTTTGATCTGTGTGGAATAATTTCCATTTATCTCTGTATAGGGGCAACAATTTTTTGATTTTGATGCCATTTTTGCTGGGCCTTTCCCATTTGGTACCACAGTCTGGGACAAGAGAGATTGGGAGGTCATCACATATTCCAATGTCCCTTTCCACATCGGTGGCCTTTGGAGTATAAGGGGTCTTTCTTCCTAAAAGTATTAAAACACACAGTGGCGTCGCTATGGGGGTGTGGACTGCACCAGAATGATGCCCGCCAGAGGGGTGACACCAGAGGCTACAAACCCCACACCCTCTTAGCAACTTGGCTAGTAAGAGGTCCCATGGGAGACCGATTTCTGGATCTAGCAAGGGTGCTGCAGATCTTAGCTGCACCCCTTTAAAAGCCATCAGTTCCCCCTTCTGCCTCTACCCTGGCTGCTGTGCCTAGCCCTATCTCACCCTCTCTCATTCCGCCTCTGTCACCCCCACTCTCTCACCACCCCCTTACCCCATCTCTCTCACCCCCTATCTCTTTTACCCCCTCTCTCACCCCATCTCTCTCCCCCCCTTATCGCTTACTCCTCTCTCACCCCCCTCTCTCTCGCCCTTATTGGGGGAAGGGGGGTGGGAAACCATAGTTTACCACACCAGGTGACACCGACCCTAGTGACGCCACTGAAAAACACACACAAGTACCAACATTCATTTTAATCCTAATAAACGTCAGGTATTTGTTCTCCTTGTGGCTTTAGTGCATGGGAATGCGCACCTCGTTTCTGTTCAAGTAGATCTCCTGATCTACATATGCGTCAATGAAGCATATTGTGATCATTTTCAGATGGCAGGTCAGCAGTGGAATCTCATGTATTTCTCGCCTTTAGGTAAGGCTCTTGGAAAACAAAGGCCTCAAGCACACAGGACATTTATTTAACTCTCCTGGAAGCCAGAAGCATTTTTGCAGAAAAAAATGCCTGACGCTTGTGAAAATGTCTAAAGCTTTTACAGCCGTGAAGCTCTTAGGCATTGATTAATTTAATTGACCAGAATAAATCATTTGTTCTGGTCATTGAACTGAATTAATGCTCAAGTGCTAAATGCGTCTACTCCTCTACACTCTTAGGTCCTCTGATGTCATCAAGACCGATGCAGGGTCCATAGCCTTGCACTGGACACAAGGAGAGATAGTCCACTGCTAGCAAGTAAAGGAGCACTGTCTGCTGGGGTGGCAGAGGATCAGGTAAGTAAAATTATCTCAGACCCTAGCCTTGCAGTGAGTGCACAACCCCACTACGAGAAAACTTTTAGGCAGGCCACACTTTATGCAATTATCTTTCCTTCACCCATGTGTTGAAGGAAAGAAAATTTCTTCATTCCCAACAATTCATTAATTGTAGATGGGGGAATCCCTACCACTGTGCTATTGTGTTCTGACAGTGGAAGGTTTCACAGCCAACAGAATATAATGATCATTGCTTCCAGCTACAGCTGCCTGCAGTGATCGGACCCCATGATCCCCTGTTGCCCAGGGGCCCCACAAGTTGTCAGTGCGCCCCTGGGCCAGCTTTAGTTTTCTCAGAGTCAGGCTTCAAAGCTGAGCCCTAGCCAGAGATAAAAGACACAAATCAATGCAGCTCTGTAATCAATAACACAGACACTTGAACATACAATATATGGTCTCATATAAGATCAAATGTATGAGTTTGTGAGTTTTTTTTTCAGTGGGCTACTGGTCATACACCTTACAATATTTTTATCCAATCAATTTTTATTACGTTTTGATTATAAGTTATTAGCTTTTGAACCACTTAGCCTACACGGCAGACTGTGCAACCAGATTATTTTTACAATGAGTTTGGTTTGCCCAATGTTGTACCTGTAAAGACAGAATGTATTGTGAAACTACAGTTATCTGTGGTCTCCAGCATCTAGTGTTTAGGATGTGGTACGGTGGGAATGGTTAACGAGTTTATCTACAACCAAGATGGTAATGTGTACAACCAGCTTTGGACCTTTAAATTCAAATTTAACAACCTAAAATTTGGATTAATGGCTAAGGGTCAAGATTGGTAAGGCTAATTTTCAGCACTGCAAAGGAAAGAGCCTGTGATGATCATGGCAACCAATCAGAGGCTGGTTGCGATACAAGGTTGTAAGTATGGATAAATATATGTGATAATATATTCCCTGAGGAAGTGACGTGACTGTGACGACACGCGTAGGGTGGGGCTCAGTGACGTGGATTGACAGAGGTACCAGGACCTGACACAGGAGCTGCGGCCCCACTGTATACT